TGTCTTCTCAAAATTTGGATATAAGCAATAATTTTAAGGCTTCAAATTTAATATCTCATTAAGAGAAATGAAGTGGAAGGAGCTCTTCTGCCAGTACAGTGGTTTCAGTCCCATAATAAATTGGCATAATGGTTTCCACAGAGAACAAAAGAAATAGTTTAGAAATTTCTTTCTAACGGAAGTTTAAGTTTTGAAGAACACATAGACATCTGAAAGGTGAAATTCACAGATTGTTCATGCTTGCAGGTTTTTATAGCCTCTGGTAATGCATGTCCTTACTCTGACATCATATGTATGTGAAAAAATGGATGTAATATTTAAAGATGTCTTTTGACAAAGAAAGTATTTCCATCTTCAGAGGTGAGATTTAGCTTTAAAGGATGATGAACAGGTTCCAGATGTGTTTTTCAATCACTGGGCTTTCCTTTCCTTAAGTATTGACAGAGGGAAGGTTTTATCAAGGTCCTTGTGATGTGCTTGTTTATAATGAGTAGACATTAGTAGAGCACATCTAAGTGCTTATCGCTAACAGATGACTAAAGAGAGCATATGGCAGGGAAAAGAAATATATATTTGTCCAAGTAATGTGGCTTGTTAACACTCCCACACTCATAAACTCTGTTTACATGTACTTACAATATTTTGCAAATCCCTTTTCTAATCAGCTAAAAATAAAAGCCAAATAATGATTTTTTTCCAATATTGAAGTGTCAGGCAACGTTGATTTAGAATTTTTTTAGCAAAGCAATTAAACAGTACAAAAGATTTTTATAGTATTTGTTTTGCTTCAGCATGACATCTTTACAGCAGTGTGTGTTATTTTCATTTGACAGTGTTAAAAGTTTTATTGTTGCAGAACGCTTTTTGGTTCACTCACCTGTCTATCCAAGTATAACTATTATACAACTAGGCCACGCTACAAGCAATAATACAGGTCAGAATGACCTATGTCAAATCCTGGTCTAGATCAGGTCACAAGGTTTATTTTTGACCATAAGATTTCCCTCTGCTTCTATAGGATGAAATCATCATGCAAGTTACAACACCTGCCAATAAACAATTTGTAAGCAAAAAAGTCTCTGAACCGTTAACCCAGTCCAGCTCCCATTAGAGTAAAAAAGGAGTCTTGCTATTAATTTCATTTAGGAGGTAGATAGAGAAATGCTGGGGAAATCTGTACAGCTCTTGAGATACAAAGTTTCTGATGATCCCTGTGATCAGGGATATAGCATTCACCCACCTTTTTATAATGGACAGAACACAGTATCACTGTCTTCTCTTGCTGTGACATCTAAATGTGCCAGTCTGTTCATATAGCATTATTAGAAAGAAGGCAATTATAGTTTAAAGATGCATTTGGACTCTTGCATACTTTTCAGAAGAAAGCATTTATAAAGAAAACTGCACAGAAGATTTTTAGAATATTCCTAGCAAAATTTTGTTAAATATTTACATCTGGGTCCAAGTATTGTCCTTCATAAAACAGTTTATTCTTGCAATTTAGCTTCATTAAAGTCATAATATTTTTTTAGGATATGATAGACTAGTGCTGAGGGATTGAATTATAAAGAGATTAATTTTAGCTACCGGAGATAATAGACCCTATAATTCCTATCACCCCTAATCCCAGTTCAAATGAACCAGTGTTAAAAGTGGCAATACTCACAATGTAGACAAGGTCATGACAGCTAGAATTGTTTTTTACTACCAATTAGATTTCCCACTTGGTGCGTTTGACTAATGTTGTCATAGAAAGGGATTTCAGGCATGGAAATAGTTTCTTTAGAGGCACACAGGCACTGGAACACGGGCAGTTTGCTGTACATTTCCCAGTGTACAGAATCAGAATGCAATTTAGTGCTGACCCCTAAAATTTGAATTCACATGGGGATTTAGAACATGTTTTGATCCATGATGGAGCTAGGAACAAGCTAAATAATTTGAATCTGGAAGCAAACTCTCTTGAACTTCAACAATGTTAATATATGGTGGGTCTAGCAGGTTTGGAACTGTCTCTTGGGGTAATACTACATCTGAAGTGTATTTCAGATGAGGAATCAGAAAAAAAGTGGGGTACTGACTGAACAGAGAGTTGTTCAAAAACAAATCATGTTGATGTTTATCTGCAAATGACATGGAGGTTTCAAAAAATACAAGGAAGACATAAATGGATTTTAAGTGTCATATATCTTAAAAATTCCCTCAAGTGATAGTGCCAACTTCAAACATATTAGCATAAGGACTCTTAGAAAAAACAACAGAACAACAATACTTTTGTGTAGCACGTTCAGAATAAGATTATTTTTCACATGATTACTAGTTATCCATCAGCATTTTTCCAAGCATTTACAGATTTGAGTTTTTGCAGTAAGCTGAAACTGCATGATAAAAAGAGACAGATCATGATAAAAAGCGGATGTATATACAAGCCTAGCTAGAAGGAGCAAAATATACTATTACTGCCCCTCCTGTGAAGTTAATCCTATTTCTTTTAGCTATTTCTTCATTAGTTAATGAGGTCTTGAGAAAAAAAAATTAAAGTGTGTTTGAAATGGTGTTTTTGCATCCTTGCCTTTAGGAACTTTTTCAGATATTCATAGAATAGTTTGCCCTTGGAAGGTGCATTAAGTATGAGTTTAGGCAATAATTACTTCAAATGTGGGTGGTCAGAAACCTGCAACTGAAATGGACAAACACAGCAGCTAATCACTTTCCTCATTCAGATTCACCACACTGGCTGGAGTCGAAATGTAAAATGACGGAGAAAGGAGATATTTTAATGATTAGGTTAAAAAAAAGAAACAAACTTCAAGGCTTAGATCACAGATCTGCTAGCATGAATTAGATTTGAATTTGGATGCACTTTGTGGTTTGCAGTCTTATTAATGAAAGATTTTCTTCTCTCTCACTTTCTGTTAACAATCAATCTCAGATCAGAAGCAAAGAGTTTGGGTGCTGTCTTTGTGAGATGAATATCAGTGGACTTGTAACTGCATCCCATCTCTGTCACCTCCTCCAGTGCACTTGGTACCAACTAACATCTCTGTTGACCTCTGGGTAGTGAGTCTGGGATCACAGTGAAAGGGGCCCCCATCTCCTGGAAGCATTCTCTTCATGTTGATGTTGTAACACGCTCTGAGGGTGAAAATCTGGGAGATCCCACAACTGCCAGTTCTTATGGCTGTCTTATCCATGAGTACAGGAACTGCAGTTTCCATTTTCAGTTTGATATCTGGCATCAGTGCTGTATTTATATTCTTTTACTGAAAAAAACAACCCCTTTATTTATCCACAGAACTCCTGAAGGAGTGAAACTGGAAGTGGTAGATTATTCTTTTCCCAGAGTTTCAACTTACTCCATTTCAGGCAGCTTTCTTAGAATGTCACTCTCCAGGGGTGCAATTGGATCTCCTG